TTCCTAAGCTACACCGGTAACCTGAAAGCTAGAACTACGCAGCGACCTGAACTCAAGAGAAAAGGCGCAAAATAAGTGAAAAACATTTTACTCCAAAGGTTCTTTTTTGTACAAAAAAACACGGGTATTTATAAATGTTAACATTTGTTAAATCAACATCATATTCGGGCCAATCAGCTAAAAGACATATTATGCTACTGACCAATAGTAGCACGCCATGTTGACATTCTAAAAAGCTCCACCATGCTCTGATTGGCTAGGACTCTTCGGCTAGTTTAGAGCCTCTGGAGCCTCTGTTGCAGTTCTCGAAAAGCCGATACAACAATTTCTTACATTGTTTTACTTATAATAATTTGTAAATCTCATTTGAAAGTTGCTTTATTTATTTGTTTGTTTGTATTTTCTTTTCCCAAATGATGACATTTAAGATTTCTACTATAAATTGTATCAACTTTGTTTTAGTTTAATTTTTTTTCCCACAAAAACTACATTTCAATGTAACAAAATGTGCTATTTTGTCGTTAAGTTAAAAAAACGGCAACTTACAATTGAATATTTGTTTTTTTTACACAGCTAGAAACAAGAAAGAAGTTGACATGACAACAGACATAAACAAACGACGATGTTTTGAAAAAGAAAAGGAAAAAAGAAACAAACTAATAATCAAGTGACGTTTTATTTTATTTTTTTTATTTTAGAGAAAAATCTGTTCGATCAGATGATCTTTCAGTATTTTTTTTTAATTTTAAGAAACGGATCATCATTTCATAAAGATGAGTTTTAATAAAGATGAACTTCGTTACAGAACTAACATCATTTAAAAAAATAATTTGGTAAGACTATAATTGATGGATGAACCAATCAGATTTATGATAACATGTCCTCGATTTTGGAGCGAAATTCATTCATCCATTTAGATAAATAGAGTTTTGGCATTATAGTTAATGTCAGTTTGTGATGAAAACCTCAAATCTAATTCTTAACCTTAACCATCAACTGTAAATTATAATTCTTATTTTCCATACTGCTTTATCACCGTCATTTAGTCGTTGTATGTAGGTAGACACTTCCAAGGCCACTTTTGTGTCGCTCAAAGGTCATCCTTAAATTATAGTCACACCGATAATTTTATTCACAAAAAAGAGAAATAGTTATCTAATTTAGAAACTTTTCAAAAGTACTGAGTCTTTACTGTTATTTTAAAAATCTAACAATCTACTTTTTGAACTTCATTCATTCAGTGAAATCTTTATACACTTCTATTTGATTATTCTTTCTTATTCATACAATGAGAAATTATTTTTAATGTGAGAATATCTTGTTAGTTTTATGCTTACACTCATCTTGTCGTTTGAATGCTTATTGTCTTGGCTCTTTGAATGCTACTTTTGTATCTGGTCGTCTCTGATTGTTGTGTCGAAAACGCTTATCACTTATACTCGGAACGAGGGACCTCTGCAATTCCCACGACGCGAAAGTAAGAACACAAAGATTGATATAAGTGAAGATTTATTAACCCCAAAACACGATGACGACGAGTCTAGTAGAAAATACACTCATTTATATATTGATTGTACACCCATTTTGATTAATAATTAGGATGAAACCACATATATGAAGAATACTTTGAGTCATAACAAGTCACATACTGAGCATAGTTCATGTTAATGGAATACAAGAATATCGTATATTATACAAGAATACAAATACTACATTCAGTAATCATTACATTGAATCAAAACGGAAATAATCTCGAACCAAAACTCATAATGAGTTGATCAATCGAATATTGACTTTTCTTTTCATCATATCAAACAATAATTAGGGTGGTTACCTCAAAAGTTATAAATTTTTTTGGCTCAATAATGTATGAAACAATTGGTTTCTTCTCTTAAGAAATTACAAAGTTAGATTGAACACTAATTACTATTTGCTACATTTTATCAATTCTTCTGCTTGAACTCGACCTTTGTCAAATGTCAGTCAGCTACAACGTAGGACCAGGCACATATGTGCATCGGTCCAGGTTGCCATACCGCATCAGCACAACATGATGAACACCGGATTCATAGCATTGGTTAGGTCAAAGGTGGTAATATATAAAAGAAAGATTGCATATAGAGATATAGTACAAGAAGAAAGAATTGGTTCGTAGAAAGAAAGATATGAAGTGATTTTAATCTCTTTGTTTAAGGGAAGACAGAGAGTGTATACACCAACGCCATTGTGATCGATTCTGAGCCATGTCACCAAGAGTCTTCAACCATTGGTTACGATAGTCACGCGGACGCCAACCAAGTAGTCTGCATCTACCAACATGGTTCAGACTAGAAGTTAGTGATATCTATTATATTATTATTATTATATATCTATTATACCAAATAAATGTCTCAAAATATGTCTTATTGAACCATCATATTTTTTTAAACGAATGTTCAAAGGTCTAAATTCATCTTCTTCACAATGATTGTCCTGTATGTTAAGTGAGTATATCATGTTTCATGCAAAAATAAAGTGAAAATAATATTATTCATCAAATTGAACAAGATTATTACAGTAGGTTACCTACATGGTGAAAGTTTGCAGGTAATATTACTCAATTTATTTTGAATACCGTTGGTGATTTCATATTGCCAGTTAGCTTTAATGGTTAAAAAACTGACTTGAGTCATTCGGACATAAAATTAAGATATTGGATTAACTCATTCGCCAAATATTTGGGCATGAACCACACTCTAAACGTGATGACCAATGATATTATCCGGTTTCCCAAACAGAAATAAGTAGAGTACGGTTCGAACATGTGACTTGAAGATCGAAGGTTGAACACCCTTACTATTTGGCTACTCCTTAACCGTTCATATAACTGTAGTCTATTCGGAAATAAAATCAGATACACAGTTTAACCACTAAATAATTAAGAGATTTATTCTGAAAACGTTCATGATACTTTCACATAATAACACTAAAAGTGAACCACTTTTACACAGTAAGTTATGAATGAAATTGTAACTTTGTGTTTGACAATTATTTGACAACTCAGTATTCAAAAAGATATTTTTCATGGTATATGAATTCTCATTTTGAAACATTCATTAGCTTTACAAGCAATTAAAACTATTCTTGACATTTAAGATATGGCTTATATGATATTGATACCTACTCAATGAAAAAAAATCACAACAAATGAGGGATGTTTCCTCCAATAAATTTCTAACATACCTTCTAACATGTAAAAAGATGACTCGATTCCGACCTACGATGATGAACAGACATATCTTGTTTTATTAGTCAATATAGTAATATATGTCGTGTATATCTGGTACTTTGATGATAATGGAATTCTATCAATACTGTTGTAGTTTTAAAACTAATCTAAGTGACTTATTTTGGTATTGAGTGGATGAAAAGAATCAGAAAGACGCTGGCTATCGACAAGTATGAAATCGACTATTACCCAATAATAAACTAGTATAAATATTTTAGTCAAACAGGTGATCAAATGCAGCGTGGATAGTTCAGTATTGATTTCTCTGACTGTAAAACTAAATCTCAGGCATGTGAATTCCTTAGGGAAACACAAATTTCATCAAGAATTCAGATAACTTTCATTTAGCAACATTTATAACGAAACAAAAGTAGATCACTTTTTTTCAACTCCCTATCACTACCTTACATACTTCGTAATGCATTATAGTATTTTAAAAATTCAGATGTATTTCTGAACGTATTACATTGATGAGTAAACGTCAAAAAAGATGATTATTTATCATCCAATTAGTTTATAATCCATATTTAGAACTTTATGTCACTGTCGTTATATAGTTTATGGTGAACACAGTTATAATTGAGTATAGTTAAAATTACACACTGAAATTAATCAAGAAGCATTTGAATTGAATGTAGAATTGCACAGCTATTTTGTCCTAGTTAAACGCTGTGGACATTGATCAAATCCAAAACGTTATAACAAGCATGATTAGTTGAAATTACATCAATTGAAATCCACTGTTTTCAGTTTTTGTTTTCATTCACACTTGGTTATACTTTCACTATCATCTAATATCATCTTTAATGATTGTTTGTGTACTGAAATCACTGCACTTTTAGAGTTTTTGGACCGATATTTAAAAATTTAGAATTTGAATGTATATAGGGTAATATGTGGCAGTCTAACATTTTTGTAGCTCAAGATCTCACTCCAGTTAGATCGTATAATTGATTGCTGTAGAAATATACATCCTGACTATTTTCGTGTATATTTATTGACTTAAATCGCGTTATTGAATGACGGAATTTAATAAGGTAAATATGAGAATGGATTTCGATTAATAATATCTTGTACAATCATTGATCTGGACAGGCAATCAGAGGGACGAAGCGAAGAGAGTGAAGCGGAATGCTGCGCGGTAGAGACGGCATGTATACCGACTACATTTAATCAAGCTTTAATCAATATTTATAGCCAGATAAAAGTACGTTACAGACATGTGATGAATGGGATAAGAAGGGCACACATACACTAACATAAAAACAGTCAAAATTGATAAGTCACTAATTCACAAAGTCAAAATGTAGCTTAGGGAGAATGGACGAATTGAATTGTCCAGAATCTAGAACAAGTCTTATGGGCTTAATATAGTAACTGACCTTATAAACATTCACTAGGTGAATCTACCTACATCTTAGTGTTAATGTATGTTATATCCGAACGAAGAATAAATGTATAGTAACTACTAGGAGTTATTTATGGACTAGTATTGCATATTTTCTAATTGATTGATTATTACGTAATTAGATTATACATATATTCATATTCTTTTTATCATAAGCTTTCATTTGATCTGTTGGCTACTGTTATACTATTTGTCATTCTCAATTTGTTCCCATTCAATTATTTACAGTATCACATGCAGACATATTTGGCTTGATTTTGTGATACTGTCTGATCTATTTGTATATAAATGACGTACATGGTAGCTGATATTTTTGTTCTAGACTGAATAGGTTGCATTGGACGAGAACTTAAGTTTACTTAAGTTTACTAGTGCTTGTTGATGCATTATTGGTTTAGCACAAGAATAAGATTATAGAAATCAGTATTATGACTAGCAATTTTATCATGTGATGAGTATTTGTTGAACCGTAGGACATAACAATGTACATAGCGAGTTATAAACCTAGCTCTTATCGTTTTCAATGTCGATACATTCTTTATTAAATATTAAGTTAAAAACGGATGCTGATTATTTATTAGGTATAACATTTAAGATTAATTATATTTCTGTACATAATCAGTCATATGGGATCATTTGTTACTTATGATCAAACAAAATAATTAATGAAATAGTAGTAATAGTCAGTAGTATACTATGAGAATCATCAACTTATCATTTTTTTTAAAAAAAACACAGTAAATCCCAGACTCATCTGATTGGTCAAAATTTAAAAAAAATATTCAATTGGATTCATTTGATTGGTTAAATTATTCTTTTCTAAAGACATGTATTCTAAACCAATGAAATTTAAACATAGACACAATTCAATATACAATAATTATGATAACATTTAAAATATTATCCATTTAATTCATTTAAAGAATTACAAAAATCATTTAAATAAATCATTAAAACAAAACAAAAAGGAGAAAAAAAGAATAAAAGAAAAAGAAAAAAAGAAGAAAAAACAATAATAATCATCATGGAACGAACTTCAAAATTAATGCATAATTTACGTTTTAGACAAAAACAGTTTCATTCACAAATGGCCAAATTAAAAATTATCTCAATGATATTGAATTCAATATTAATCATCATTGGTATCATTATATTTAGTTCTGTATTATTAGTGATTAGTTATCCAATATGGTTAAAAATGTTTATATCATTACAAAGAATTACAATTAGTTATGCAATATTAATATGGATTGTATTTTTCTGTATTACATCAATAATATTAGGAATTATTGGAATATTTTCTATACAACGTAAAGCAACACTAATATTAGGCATACAAGTAAGTTTTATTTTTAAACAAGGGTGTTGTTTTACTTTGATTGATCAAATATTATTCTTGCATTGTTCCGTTGTACTATTTAAACTTGAATTAATTTTAATTTGGTTATTTATTCTCTGAAGAAGTGACTTATACGAAGTCACGAAACGTCAGAAAATCTAATGTTCTACTCATTGTGATATTTCGAATTTATTATTTATTTATAACAATCTACCTAATGCTCAATTTATTCTAAATTATCAAATCAAACTCTGGTAATGATACCTATATACATTATCATTATTGTTTAAATAACCCTGAGATGGTGGAATTATGTAGTTTTGAAAGAATTTGTAATTTACTGTTGTGTAATGATACGATAATCCTTTTTTTCTTAGTTGAACCTAGAAAATCTTTTAATGATCAGAAAATATTCATTTATAGCTTTCAGAACAAAATATACTATTTAGTTGTGAAGACTATTGTGAATAATTAAAACGGATTGTAATAGTTACCTGCTAAGTTATGTGATTAGAACTGTTATTATTTGCTCAATAGAAAAAAATATTACTTAACAACTAACGCTAAGAAAATATTCAACAAAATATTCTGTCTAGCTTCAATTGACTCATGATCTCAACCATTGAAATTACTATAATATCTACAAAACTCCTTCTGATATTAATCAACATATACTCGCTAGTGACTGGCTTCAAGAGGTATTTGCTGGAATTCTAGTGAGAAGCAGTATTCAGTAGGGTTCAACCGGATCAGTTGTGAGATATTAATTCACTGATAATAATAGTGGATGAGTCGCTCAATTTTGTAGATTAGTTGAAGTTAGACATTAACACCGATGGATGCCAGCTTAGTGGTCTAGTGGTTAAGGGCTCGTGTGCGAGACTGAAAGGTCCTGGGTTTGAATCTCGAGGGAGGTGGGATCGTGGATGAGCACTGCCACTCAGGAGTCCCACAATAGGGAGAAACGACTGTCCAGTGCTTGCAGGTCTTCCATGGTGGTTTAGCTTCAATTGACACATGATCTAAACCATTGAAAATTATTCTGTCACTTATAAGTGTCTATCGTTTAGTTAAGGTCATAAAAAAATACGGTGAGACTATAATTTATGGATGAACTTTGAGCGACAGTAAAGTGACATTGGAAGTGTCTACCTACTTACAACGGCTAAATGGCGGTGATAAAGCAGTTTGAAAATAAGAATTATAATTTACAGTTGATGGTTAAGGTTAAGAATTAGATTTGAGGTTTTCATCACAAACTGACATTAACTATAATGCCAAAACTCAATTTAGCCAAATGGATGAATGAATTTCGTGCTAAAATCTAGGACCTGTTATCATAAATCTGATTGGGTCATCCGTAAATTATAGTTTCGCCAAAAGTACATATGATATGGATTTTTTTGTTTTCCGTAAATCTTTTTCCTGATTCATGGATTATTGCATACAAGAAATGTTTGTGCAGTGTTATATGGAGGTGTTAATCTAATAACTACTGAATAATAAATATATTTTTGTTATATCCCAATAAGTAGAAAAATTGTATTTCTGACGTTTCGCGACCAAATGTAAACCACTTCTTCAGAGTAAATAAGTAACTACGGAAATTTAATGATGTTTATTTTAAATGAAGATGGTTATTTCTCACTGATCAGTTAAGATGTAAACATCTCCCTTCTACAAAAGGTAAGCTATGATATGTACAACACATTGATAACGTCGATAATTGATATACTTAGTGAAGGGGATCGAAATCCTATGACCAGATACTACCTCTATCGAGATTGTATATATGATTTTTTTATGAGTGTTAACTAACTCAAAATAATCACTGACATTGGCTTATTAAAAGTGACAATGAAATACTATAGTGTTTTTTTAGCATTTATTTTTGTCTCATCATCAATTCACTGCAATACAACTAATTACGTCCACATAAGAAATCCTGGATGGTATTTAAATGAAATTTGTACAATCTCGTATGTACTCTATTGTATATTGCGGTAGATCATGTGACTTAAAGGAACAATTTTACTTTTAAAGTCTTAGTTCCAAAGTTTACTGATACAATGATTAATAATTACAGACGAAAATATAATATTGATATCGGGTATAATCAAATAGTGAATAAACACAACCAAGCTGTTCAAGTCTATGATGAAGCACCCGTTGAGTGTTTATTGATTTTGAATCGTAGCCTAACTACAGTTAATCAATGCTGAGTAGTGTATTCAAACAAAAAAAGTTATATTTGTATGCATATAAAATACCTTCAACTGATTCAACCAGTTTTGCGATTTTTTCAGTTTCAGTAAAATGGGTTAACTTTAACACAGAAGTTGACATATTTTCTCGATACAAAACAGTCTTTCTTACCTCGTTTGTTTAGCGTTTTTCTTTATTAAGAACAAATTTATTTTGTGGATAGAACTTCCATTTTCCAAAATGATAATCTTTCAACATAACTGTAACTAGTTTCATAAAACAAGTTTACTTCCAACAGAAACATCGTAAAATAGACGTAAACATAGGTGTTAAAATGAAGAATAAGTTTCTTTTGCTTTCAACAAATTCTCATAGAAATGTTCACAAATTTGAGTTTGAACAAATTGCAAACTTTTTGGGGAATCACAAAGATTGAAATGTTTTCAAAGTTGAATTCATGAGTCAATCTAAGCCAGACCATCACTGAAAACCTGGATGCACTAGATGGGTTTTTCGTCCTAGTATGTAACTCCTCGACAATGCGCATCCATTATTCCGCACGCGATACAATTACCCAGCACCTTCAGTCTCAGTAGTCTAGTGGTTAGATGTTCGTGCACGAGATCGTGGATGAGCACTGTTGATCAATGTGAGTTGAATTATTCAAAATTACAATAAAAAAGATAACTAAGTTAGTTGAATGTAATTTACAAACAACTGAAGTCGAAATCATCTACATTAGGATTATTATTTTCGTGTATAATTAAAATAATTTAATGACATTTTGAGTTTGAGATTGACTACGATGGGAAAAGTGATTAAATGTATATCTTTAGTTTTTTGTTTAATTTAAAAGATCCCCATTTGGGAGGAGGAAATTCGGAGCCTGATCACATTCTAACAGATTTGTAGTATTAATGGATGGCTAACATTTTTCATTTCCTAATATTTGGACTAATCTAAACTGAATTATGGCCTACAATTAATCTAGCATAGAAATTATATTGTTTATATAAGAACTTTCGTCTAAATTTGAACGAATAGTTTCATAGTATTTAGGAGCTGAGTTAATATAATTCATTATTTAGGAAGAATATATTTGTAAAATCTTAGCGATTGAATTTGAAGTAGATCCAACGTTTCATTGAGCCATCTGATACAAGATTTTTAAAGCAAATATAATCAGTGTTTGGAATAGAATAATAATGATTGGTTGTTTGTTTAGTCAGATTTGTAGATAGCCTGATTGGTGTTAGATGAGTTGTATATCCTCCTTTCCTTATTATTGATTGTTGGTTGCCGTTGTTGTTGTATTGTCGGTTTTTGCTGTGAAAATGTGTTTACATTCTAGTCAGGTTAATCACATGTTCATGATCTGAGTTGTGTTAAAGTTCTGTAGAATAGACGCTGGGAAGGGAATCTGAGGTAGATATTCGTCTAAGGCAAATTACCGTCCCATTCGTAAAGATATGGAAAACCGAATCAGTAGAATACAATTTAATGCATTTATGTTAATATGTACATCTAAGTATTTCATTTAAGGACATGATTCACTATTTTTCTGAATTCAAATATACATGCCAATAAATTATATATTGCATCAATTAATACAATAATTTATTGCCCTGATATTATAATACTTCGATTCTTTTACGTAAGGTCATTATGTTTTCCCTTCCTTGTGGGATAAATATGCAATTAAAATATCATGCTAATATACATTAGTGTTATTCATATTATTTTTTATTCTCTGTTCTTATTTAAATTCGTAAATCATTTTATATTTCTTAGAATAGACTAGGTACATTTCTTAAAAACACCTTTCTTTTCTAAAAAAGGAACGGTACTGGGTTCGAGTCCCGGAGTGAACACCAACTCTGAGATGGAGATACATCCAGCTGACGAGTGCCAAATAATACGAAACACGCATCTTACTGAATTCCACCGTTAGCCACTATCCATCTTTGCTTAAAACGCTTGTGACTTAAGGCTATATCGAGGCAATCTGCACAGGATGCACATATGCCATTAAGAGACTGATCGATTGCAGTCTTAAATACCAATGGGAAGTTATAAGTAAAACTGTATCCATTGAAATTAATCATTGTTACATAGAAACTTCAGTGTAAAAATGCGAATTAACTTCTTTCAAATAATTCATAATTTCTTTTTTATTACTGTTAAAATGCATATTATCTTATTTGTTCATTACTACAATATGACCTATATTGAACATTTAATGATATGTTGTTTTACTCTCCATTTATTATGTCTGTTTATATTATTATAAATTATACAGCCTACATATTAATTGTTACCTAACAAAAGGTATTAAAAGAAAGATCAATAAAAGTATGTAACACTGTACATTAAGAACTGTTTTTACTTAAGTATACATTGAAAGCCATGAAACATTAGATAAATGTTTTGTTCTAGTATGTGATCGTTCAGTAGTGAGCATCTCCAACCCTATCATAGATCAAGAACACAATATGAGCTCATAGTAGCCACAATTGATTGATCACTGGGTGGTGATCAATGTCATGCTTGTCTAGTCCTTATTAGTGCAGATCGAATGCTATCGATCATGAGATCGAATCCGCCAGGGAGCACCAGTTCCCTCAAGACTACAGGTTCACCTTGCTGACGAGTGCCAATTAGCATAAAACTCGGGTCCAGGGTTTCCTGTTGACTACCTCCAACCACCATCCAAAGCTCATAGTAGCAGACAGTAAACCATTTAAAAAAATAATAAATATTGAAAGTGAAATTATATATTACCAAAATCTCAACGA